GGGGGGCCCGGGGGGGGCCCCCAGGGGCCCCTTGGCGCAGCCCGCAGCCACTTCCAACGGGACTCCCGCAGCAGACGGGGGGGCCCCCGGAGGGGGGGGGCCCAGGGGGGCCCCCGAGGAACCCACGGGGGGGGCCCCCGGGGGGGGCCCCCCGGGGGGGCCCCCCTCCACCAACTCTTCTTCGGGGGGCCCCAGAGGTACTACCCCCAGGGAGTCGCAGCAGGGGGGGGCCCCCACGCAGCAGCTGCTCAAACCCACTATGTCTTCCTCCGCTAGCACTTCTGCTGCTTCCCCACGGCATCCTGCTGCTGCTGCTGCTGCTGCTGCTGCTGCTGCTGCTGCTGAGGGGCAGCTCACAGAGCCCGCTGCTGCGGAAGACGCCAAGTGCCGCTGCTGCTGCTGCTGCTGCCGCGAACGCGCGCGGGAGAAGTCCGACAGCCCCCCTGCTGCTGCTGCTGCTGCTGCTGCTGCTGTTGCTGCTGCTGCTGCGTCGCCGTGGGGCAGCAGCTCGCGCTTCGCCCCCGCAGCAGCAAAACTGTCTCGTGCTGCAGCAGACCCCAGTTTGCTGCTGCCGGTCCTGCTGCCGGGGGCCCCCCCTCCGCCCCTGCTGCGCCTCCCGCCCACTTCGTGCTGCTGCTGCTGCTGCTGCTGCTGCTGCTGCTGCTGCTGCTCGGACTCCTCTGCGCCGTAGCGCAGCAAATGCCCCTGCAGGCTGCTGAGCAGCGCCTGAGTGCTTTCCAAAGAGGCCTCGTGCTCCGCAGCTGCTGCGTCGGGCTGCGCTGCTGCTGCTGCTGCTGCTGCTGCTGCTGCTGCTGCTGCTGCTGAGTCCAGGGGGGCCCCCAGGGCCCCACAGCTGCTGCTCTCCGGCAGCAAAGACAGCAAAAAGGAGACAAGAGTTGCCTGCCGAGTTGCCACATCTCCTTTTGCTGCTTCTGTCCCTTCTGCTGCTGCTGCTGCTGCTGCTGCTTCTCCTGCCCAGTCCCCCAGCGCGAAGGGCCTGCAGTCGTTAGCAGCAGCAGCAGCAGCAGCAGCAGCAGATTCTGCTGCTGCTGCTGCTGGCCTCTCGTTCTTCACAAACAGAGACAGCGCGTCTCCTCCCTTGCTGCTGCTAAACAGCCCGAAGTCTTCAGGAACTTCCGACAACGCCTGCAGCAGCGTCGGCTTCCTGCTGCTGCTGCTGCTGCTGCTGCTGCTGCTGCTGCTGCTGCTTTCACCGTTGTCCTTGTGCTGCAGCGGCCACGACGGGCGACAGAACGCAGTTCTGGGGCCTGTTGGTGCTGCAGCAGCAGCAGCAGCAGCAGCTGCTGCTGCTGCTGCTGAGTAGCCAAAGCCCTCTGAGAGGCTGCTCTCAGAGGCGGCGTCGCGCAGACAGTCTGCTGCTGCTGCATCAGCAGCAGCAGCAGCAGCAGCAGCTGCTGCTGCTGCTGCATCCGGCACTGCCTCCTCGCTGCTGCTGCTCTGAGGCCCTGCAGCAGGAGAAGCGCTGCGGGAATATGCCGGGGGCTGCTGCAGCAGGAAGTGCGGCAGCTCAAGAGACCCCAGGGCTCGCAGCAAACTGCAGCTGCTGCTGCTGCTGCTGCTGCTGCTGCTGCTGCTGCTGCTGTCTGTCGGATCTGCTGCAGCGTCAGTCGGCGACGCGAGCCCTTCATCGTGAAGCTCAAGTCCCCTCTTTGCTGCTGCTGCTGTTGCGGAGGGCCCTGCTGCTGCGCAGGGACGCAACTGCTGCTGCTGCTGCTGCTGCTGCTGCTGCTCTCGCAGCGTGTCTGCTGCTGCTGCTGCTGCTGCTTCTCCCTCGGCGCCGTCACTCATGCTGGTGGGCGCAGAGGGGCCCCCGGGGCTCTGCCGCAGGCGTTGCTGCCCGCCAGCAGCAGCAGCAGCAGCAGCTGCTGCTGCTGCTGCTGCTGCTGCTGCAGCAGAGGGCCCCTCGTCGAGCTGCAGCAAACCCTCTGCGTCGTAGAGACAGGCCGCGCTGCTGAAGGCGCTGCGCATAGCAGCAGCAACGTCGTGGCCTGCTGCTGCTGCTGCTGCTCGGAGGCGGCTCTGTCCCCAGCTGCTGCTGAGGCCCGCAGCAGCAGCAGCAGCAACAGCAGCAGCACCACTTGCTGCTGGGTAGGGACTGAAGTGTCTCCAATTAATTGCTGCTGCTAAACGCTGCAGGAAACTCCGCTGCCCCAGCAGCGCAGCAACAGAAGCAGCAAGTGGGTCTTTAGGCTGCCTGGCCAGCGAGACTACGGGAGCAGCAGCAGCAGCAGCAGCTGCTGCTGCTGCTGCTGCTGCTGCTGGTGCTGCTGCTGCTGCCTTTGCTGCTGCTTTTGCTGCTGCTGCTTCCTCCTTGGGGCCGTCGGGGCCGTGGAGAGCGGCGGCGGCGAGCTTGCCCTCGAGGGCGCCGTCGCCCGCGGCAGCCGCTGCTGCTGCTGCTGCTGCTGCTGCCTGCTGCTGCTGCTGCTGCTGCTGCTGCTGCTGCTGCTGCTGCGTCTCCTCCAGCAGCGCCTCCGCGTAAGCTGCTGCCAAGTTGTCGCAGACAGCGTCCAGCATGGAGGCGGGGCAGTAGGCGAGGAAGATCTGCAGCAGCAGCCGCAAGTTGTCCGTTTCTGCTTCTGCTGCTGCTGCTGCTGCTGCTGCGCTGCTGCTGCTGCTGCTGCTGCTGCTGCTGCTGCCCTGCGCGCGCAGCAGCCGCAGCAGCGGCCGCCGCTGCTCCAAAACCTGCAGCAAGTCCCGCAGCAAAAAGGAGACATAAGGAGACAGTTCAGCGAGAGAAGCAGCAGCAAGAACTGTGAACTGGTGATAGGCGTATTGGGGGTTTCGCTGCTCCACCACAATTGCTGCAGCGTTTGCTGCTGCTGCCAGCGCAGCAGCCACGGCCCCCTCCCTGCTGCTGCTGCTGCTGCTGCTGCTGCTGCTGCTGCTGCTGAGGCCCAAAGCAGCTTGTGCTGCTCGCCGCGCCCGAGACACTGCAGCAGCAACTCCCCGCGGCAGCGCGCTGCTGCCAGCAGGCCGCAGCATTGCCAAGACACCCAAGACATCCGACAGCAGCAGCTGCAGCGCCCGCAGGTAGTCTGCTTCGCTGCCAGCAGCAGCAGCAGCAGCAGCAGCAGCAGCAGCAGCAGCAGCAGCAGCAGCACGGCACGAACAGCAGCAGCAGCAGCAGCAGCAGCAGCAGCAGCAGAGCGCGAACGCGCCTGCCACGACGCCCAGCAGCAGCAGCAGCACGCCGCGAACGCCACCCCCCCCTCCACCCCCCAGCAGCAGCAGCAGCAGCAGCAGCAGCAGCAGCAGCAGCAGCAGCAGCAGGACCTGCTTGGGGGGCTGGAAGGCCCTGGCGAGTCGCTCGAGGGCGCAGCAGCGGAAGAAGGCGGGGTCGCGGGCGTCCAGCAGCAGCAGCAGCAGCTGCGCGCGCTGGCAGCAAATCGCCAGCTGCTGCCACAGCGCGCAGTTCCGCTCGAAGGGACTCAGCAGCAAACCCCCGGCCTCCAGCAGCGCCAGCTGCCGCCGCCACGCAGCAAACGCTGCAGCAGCAGCAGCAGCAGCAGCAGCAGCGGGAGCTGCTGCTGCTGCTGCTGCTGCTGCTGCTGCTGAGGAGGAGGAGGAGAGGTGGTGAGGAGCCGCTTCTGCTGCTGCTTCCTCCGTCTCAGCCGCGGAACTCTCTTCTGCTTCTTCGGACTCCGACTGTTCAGATTCAAATTCAAATTCAAATTCTTCTTTTTCTTTTTCTTTTTCTTTTTCTTTTTCTTCTTCAGATTCAAATTCTGTTTCTTCTTCAGACTCTTCTTCAGATTCAGCTTCAAATTCGGACTCCGACTCTGTGTCTGGCTCCGAGTCTGCGTGCGGGCGGGCGTTTTGCTGCTGCTGCTGCTGCTGCTGCTGCTGCTGCTGCTGCTGCTGCTGCTGCTGCAGCAGCCGGCCAGCGCGCGCTGCTCCGGGCTTTTGTGTCTTCGCTTCTTTTTTGTTTTTTTGGAACTTCCGGTGGAGCTCTTCGCGCTGCTGCCGCACGAAGTGGACATTTTGGATTGTGGCTTCTTCGAGTTTGCCCCGCAGCAGCAGCTGCACGCGGCCGCGGTTCCTGCGTCTGCGGCTCCTCTCTGCTGCTGCTGCTGCTGCTGCTGCTGCTGCTGCTGCTGCTGCGCTGCTGCTGCTGGCCGCTTTGCTGCGCTGCTCCGCGGCTTCCCGCGAGAACAACAGCGGCTCCAGCGGGATCGGCACCTCCACCTCCTCCACCAGCGAGTCCGCCAGCTGCAGCGGCTGCTGCTGCTGCTGCTGCTGCTGCTGCTGCTGCGCTGCTGCTGCGCCGCAGAAGGGCGCCTTCGGCAGCAGCAGCGGGGCGGTGGGCTCCTGCAGCAGCCGCGCTGCGCTGCGGTCTTCAGCGAAAGTCTCTTGAGCAGCAAGAGTTGTGGCCAAGTACTCGTCGAGCCCGCTGCGCTCCAAGACTGACCGCAAGTCCTCCTGCTGCTGCTTCCTGCTGCTGCTGCTGCTGCTGCTGCAGTGCAGCCGCTGCGCCCCTGCAAAGGCCCCCGAGAGAAACTCCAAAGTCCTCTCCCGAGAGATGCTGCTTCCCATGGCCACCCCCGCGGGGGCCCTCGCCAGCAGCGCCCGAGACTCCTGGCTTTGCTGCTTCACAGCCGCCACGAGCTGCTGCTGCTGCTGCGCGCTCGCCGCCTGCTGCAGCAGACAGTGGTGCAGCACGGCGCTGCCGATTTCGCCCTTCCGCCCCCGCTGCTTCCTTCCGGGCCTCCCCATTGCAGCAAAAGGGCCTTCTGCACTTTCTGCCTTCTTCAAAAGTCCAAAAACACTTCAAAGGACCCCCAAAGTCCCGGAAGCGCCCCCCCGAGCGCCCCAGCAAACCCGCACACCCGGCGGCGGAAACCGCCGCGGAAACCCCCGAATTTCGAACTTCTGGCCTTCTTTCGCAGCAAATTGTGGCGCCAATTTTCATTTGGGATCTTTTTAACAAAAAAAGATCGCGAAAAGAGCCAAAAAATTCGCTTTCTGAAGAAAGTTCAACTTGGAGAAGTCTTCGGCGCCGGCTATTGACTCAACAACAACGCGCATGCGGGGCAGCAGCAACCCGCTCCGCCGCAGCCGCAGCCGCAGCAGCAGCAGCCAGGACACTCGACGGGAAATGCAAAGATTAAATGAAATTCTTTTTATTTGGAACTGAGGATCTTCTCCATCTCAGTGGGAAATATAACTCGTATTTCGCCAAAGTGCGACTTGCACGCGCGGCGGACGGGTGGCGGTCAGTGCCGGCCGGCTCCTTCAGCCCGTCCAAAACAGCAGCAACTGCCCACTTAAATGCATTTCAACAAATGCCTTTTGCTGCTGCTTTTGCGTTTCTCCGCAGCTCTCCGAGTTGGGAGGAGATGGGGCAGCAGCAGGCCAAGGCGCTTCCCAAGATTATGAGGAAGGCGGGAGATCCCATGAACGTCTTCAGTGCGTCTTGAACTCCACAAACCGCCCTTTTCTCTTCCCAATTAAATTTAAAATCAAAATAAACCTCACTGGCGGTGGCGCTTATTCTTCGCTTCCGCATTTTCCCCCGAGTTTCCCTCCGTTCACCTTTGGCAAGTCCAGCCAGTTTCAGCTGCAGCAGCAGCAGCACTGCGGCGTTCTTGTCCGGAGCTGCAGCGCAGCAGGCAAAAGAAAACGCCTTAAAAGGATATAACACTTCTTTAAATTGTCGCATTTTGGACTTCTTCAACTCGGCAAAGTGGTGTTTCACCGCAGCTTTCCCTCTTTTCTTGCGGCTTCTTTGCTGCTGCTCGCCCGCAGATCTGCCAGGTGTCCACACGGAGGTCTTATACCCCTCGGCCAAACGGACTGTCAACTTCTCCATCTGCCGCTGCTGGCAGTCCAGTAAGTTCGCTGCCGCAGCAGCAGCAGCAGCTGCTGCTGCTGCTGCTGTTGCTGTTGCTGCTTCGCCTCAGGTTTTGCTGCTCGCCTCTCCTCGCAGCAGCGCCTCTCCTCACTCCCACCGAGCCGGCATTTCATTGGCTTTCTGCTGCTGCTGCTGCTGCTGCTGCTGCTGCTGCGGGTCTGCCGCAGCGAAGTTTCCCATATGCGACAACGCGCACAAGGTGCTGCAGAAGCAAGGCTGCAACTGCGGTGAGTTGTTGAACTCGAGTTTAGTTTTCTGTTCTTTCTTTTCTTCTTTTGCTCCAAATTGGCCACTCACGTGCCCCTGAAGACCCAGCAGTGCAGCAAGAAGCTCCACTCCCTGCTGCTGCTGCTGCTGCTGCTGCTGCTGCTGCAACGCAGGCCCCACTATGCTGGAAGTTCGCCAGGCCCCGAGCCTCACAGAGCCGCGAGATATGAACAGCAGCTTTGAAAGCAAAGAGCGAGTCTCTGCTGGGGCTCTCTTTGGAGGCGCTGCGTCTGTTGCTGCTGCTGTTGCAGGTTCGTTTGCTTCTCGCTGCTGCTGCTGCTGCTGCTGCTGCGGCTGTTGCTGCTGCTGCAGCGCAGCAGCGTCGCGCTTGCTGGCTTCTCCTCTGCCGCTTTTTGCTGAAAGCAAAAGCTTGTTGTCTTCTTTTTCGTCCTTGTGAACAGATCTGAAGAGTTAATGCGGCCAAATATACTTTTGTTTCTTTATTTTGAAACAATTGCAACAAAAGTTTTGCTGCTTTTGCTTTTGTTTGCAGCTGGCGGCCACGCCTTTGGCTTTTTCTGAATTTGAAGAAGACTTAATGCAGAAGTCGAAAGCGAGCTGCCGCTCACCGAATGAAAGTTGCTGCAGGGATAACGGGCTGATCTCCCTTTTTTTCATTTTATTTTGCATTTATTGTTTTGCATTTTTTAAATAAATTTGAACTGCTAACGAGGGATTCAAAAGGACTCTCTCGTGTCAGTGGCTGGCTTTCCTTTCCGAATTCAACTTGGCAGCGCAGCAGCCAACTGGGCTTGCGCCGGCAGCACTGCACAGCAAAGTTTCCCTATTAGTGGCGAATTACTTGAAGTTAGCCAGTAATTGAATAATTTAAAATACTTTTAAATGCATTTGAGAGGCTTATTCGCAGTTCTCGCTGGACTTAGTGAGTTGGCGAGTGCCGCAGCTCCACCTTTGGCTCTTCCCGCACTCTTCAGACTTTGCTGCACTTGCAAACGAAGTTTCTCGCCAATTAGTCCTCAGGCCAAACTCAACTTCACAAGTCTTCTTTGACTTCGAAAAATGGGGGCTGCAGCTCTTAATATTCATCTCGAATCCTCTCTCGAGACGCTTCCCAGCGCTCTCTTCTAAACTTGGGAAAAGGAGGCACTCTGTTGAAGAGCCGGAGCCTCATAAATCCCGTGTCAGTTCAACTTGCATCTTATTAATGACAATTCGTAGCGTTAATTGAAGGTGCAACTCAGGCTGTGCGACTATCTTGCATGGATGGAACAGAAGTTCAACTTGCATGCGAATATGGCACTCAAACTGATGCAAATGGCATTTCAACAAGAACACAAACCAAAATAAATCCCCTCAGTGGCAAGAGGCACTGTACACCCTCTCGATTACAGCGCTTGTGCATCGGAACAGCTCGACCCTACCAGCTAGGGCTGGGATCAGCAGCTTTGAAAACATGAATTTGTATGAAGTCCGTCGAACTGTTCCAATTCGGCCGCAACTGAGTCAGCAATACTCTCTTAGTGTGATTTGCAACGAAACAAGTTGCAATAATTCCGTGAGAGTCCTCGCCGTAACCTCTGGAGGAACTAGAAGTGCTGTTCACAAGTTTGAACTTCTTCGGATGCAGGAAACATAAGGAAAGCCTCACGGGATTCTTATTTTAGTCTGTTGTAGTTGAACAAGCATTAGTTTTGCTGCCACACTTCAAAGTAATATGCAACTCTTGGGACGCTTTCTCATCGTTCAACTTTCCGAAGCTTCGCCTTATTTTTCTTATGAACCAACCAGTACCACTCTATTCTACTGAATCTTTTGGAATTATTGTCCTTCACATGAGAAACCTCGCACATCATGCTGCGAAACTGCTGAAAATGTGAAAATGCAGCAGTTTTATCTCGGCAAACTAGTAGCGCCTGGTTTCTATCAAGAGAAGACACAACCACACCAATAGACGCAATGGGGGTTACTCTGTACTAATCCGCATACAAAGAAACTGATGAAAGCCTTCCAGCCTTCACTCTCTCTGCATACGGGAAACAAATTCTGATACGATTTTGCGAAATTAAGATGAAATCCGCTCACAGTGTGTGCAGTTTCCAGCATGATCCTCAGTTCAGCGCGGACGAGCACTCCGAGCCTCAACTTGCAAACTCCGCGGTGAGGCCTTTTCCCGCGAATGTTTGGTGAATCAACACACTTTTGAATGCCGATTTATCAAATCATTGTTTATTTCGTTTCGTTGGCCTTAACAGCCACAGAATCAAGCGATGGGAATACAGTTTCCGCCTCGCAAGACCCTGCAATTCATGAACGCCACCGCTGACCCGCACGCTGCAGCCACCGGGACGGACGCACGGTGTATCTGCGGACTTTATTATATCCCCTCAAAACAACGAAATTACCGTAATACAAGGAATACAAAGTGGATGTGACTGCAAGAGCAGGGCAAACCAGCCCCGTGGCTTGAAAGGCCCCGCCTAGCCCCATGACATGCGGCGTCGAGTTGCTGTCCTTTTAGCCAAGGAAGTTTGCAGACGTTACCGTTTGGGTTTGGAAGAAGTATGTGTGCATAAATATGGCCTCGTTATGGCTGGCCCGTCTAAGGGCCCCACATCGTGGGGTCTCTTCCGGGGGCGTTCTCCTTCAAGGGGCGTTCAGGCCCCTGGCCGCGTTTCAGGGAGTGGCTCCGCACCAGCGGCCAACTCAAAGCCCTCAAACGCGAGCCTACGCGAACTTGAGCGACAGCTGGGGCTTCAAGAAGGTCCAGTACACCAAGTACCGCATCACGAAGCCCTGGACGACCGACACCCAGTTCGACGACATTCTTCTTTCCGAGCCCTCGAGGTCCGCATGCAAAAGCCAAATCGGAAAATAATTAAAAATGAACATCAGAGGCGCCTTCATATCCGGGCGATCCTCGGAATGCGTGCATCCCTTGTCGGCTTTTCCTGCCGCCCTCGAGTGGCGCCTGGGTCGTTTTGTCCCAGAAAAGCTGCATTAGCGTTTAATTTTTACTTTTTGAACTATTTTCAAAGCACTTTCTGCTTTTATTGCTAATATAAACAGCTTTGCGCGTGTGCGGAGGCTGGGCGGTGCTGCTGCGGCCGCCGGGTGTCTGCGTCTGCAGGGAGTCTCTGGCCAAGTTCACGAAGGAAGCGCCGCCATTTCTGCGCTTTTTGAAGCTGGTGACGGACGTGGAAAACAGGCCACAGGCCTTCATCGAATATGCGCTGAGGTGAGGCCGCACGCGCGCCAAAGCTGCCGCGGATTCCTTCTGCTGCTGAGCAGCAGCAAGCAGCAGCAAGCTGCAGCAAGCTGCAGCAAGCAGCAGCAAGCTGCAGCAAGTAGGCGGCTTGAGCTGGAGCTTTGCCGCGCAGGTGCCGCGACGGGCTGGTGGTGGAGAAGGACGTTTACATCACCAAGGCGGAACTCATGAAGTGCATTTGGGAAAACGGCTATTCCGAAAACGAAATGAACGCCTTCGAATTCGCCTTCCCCGCCGACTACAAGTTCCACTACCCCGGTGGGCAGCTGCAGACTCTCGCAAAGCTTTCTTTGCAAAGTTTCAACAGCTGCTGCGGCCAACTCCCGGCCAGCCAGCTCGCCTCTCCGGGGCTTCTGCGGGACTTGCAAGTTCGCTCTGGGGGCCTCGCTGGGTGTCTCTGCAGAGCTGGCCGTCTTGTTTGACTTGCCCGAGGAGGAGTGCTACAAGTATTGCATGCGGCAGCGGGCGAAGACTCCCGAGGAGCTCGTGGAGGTGAAGTACGAGAAGCCCAAGAACCTGGTGAGAGGGCCTCCCGATCCGCGGCAGAATGCGCTGCTTCCTCTTCCCCAGCTCTTCTAAAACAAGTCGTTTGCTTACTTGCTGCTGCGCAGCTCTCGAGCTACGGACTCTGCTTCCTGGGCGTCTGGTACGGCTTTTCGAACCAAGTCCTCAGCAACGCCTGGTTCTACTCCAAGACCTTCCCCTTCGGCGCGGTGTTCTACATGCTGGCTTCTTACTTTTAGTGAGCAGCAACTTTCAGAAACAATAAAACACTTTTAAAGGCGCCAGCGGGGCGCCGCGGCGCGCCCGCGGGAACATGCAATGCGGGGGCCAGCCTGGCTGTCCGCTGGTGCGGTGTACGTGCAACTGCAGCCGGAATATCCGGGAGTACTTGTGGAAAGAAGACAAAGCTCTTATTCAGGGCGCGAAGGAACGCAAAGACGCGGGCGAAGAGCTGGTGCACCGGCAGCTGAAGAAGTACGCAAACGACGCGCGCTGCGTCGAGTACCTCTCCTCCTTCAAAGAGGAAGTGCAGCAGCAGCTGCAGGAGTACCACGAGGCCTTGCTGGAGCAAATGAGGGAAAATATGGTGAAAAAGATGAACAGCAAACTTCTTTCGATTCAGCAGGCGGAGCAAGCCATCCAAGGCTCTCTTCACGAGGTCATCGTGAACGAGCTCGTCGACTCCTTCCACAAAAAAGTCGAAACCGACGCGAAAATGCAAGACGCAGCGCTGAAAGCCGCAATTGAGGCCATTTCGGGGGAATCTCCTTCAGTGGTGAGCTCAAAAGAAAGAACTTCTGTGGGACATGCCGTCACTGGCAACATGAACTCCCAGCTCCAACAAGTCCGTTGATATGGGGGTCTCTAAAGAATGCATTGACGGCAATTTGCATGCAAATAAGCCAGTTGTGTGCTTCTGAATCTGCCCGTGAATGCGCATTTCCATGCCCTTAAATCGAGATTCCTTCTGGATGTATCAGCACTTGTGTATGCGTCAGTTTCTATGCGGTTGCTTACTGTATGTTCAAGCTGTTGTGGCGTGCATGATTGCATGCTCTTTTGTCACTGTTAATGCGTTTTCACGTTCCTATCTGAGCATTTGTTTGTGCCTGTGCGCACTTGTGCCTGCTTTCACTATACTTGTATGCTCACTTGAGTGCGGGCTCACTTGCTTTCTTGTTTCAAGCTGTTGTTGTGCGCTTACGCGTGCATATCAATGAATCTGCGTGAAGGGGCGGTTGGAGCTTTTCGAAGGCGCAATATATTTCTCTCTTCGACCTAGATGCTTACCTATGTGTTTGCGCATGAAGGCAACTATGGGAGTATATTCTATTTAAGCCGAATGCATGTATTTGTAATGTTTGCCTAGGCGTGCGTGCATGGCTTTATATGAATGCGTCTGCGTGTCACGCGTGGTCCCAGGATCCAGTGGGAGCACACTTTCGAGCGTCGTTGAAAGAGCTCCAGAGTGCTGATGCGGAGGGATCAAAGCCAGCGCAGAGCGGATCAGTTCGTGAACGAGTATCTGCAATCTTTCGCCGTCGTGAACAGGAATTCCTGGAAATGTTCACAGTCAGGTACTGGATACGAACGAATCGTGTGCACGTTTCCCTACACCAGCGCTTTAGGGGAGGCCTGTATCAGCTAGAAAATGCTGAATCATTTGTCCTGCTTTCGCGTTAACGCAGTCCTGAAGAAGCTGATGAAGTGAAGCGCATCACTGGAAAATGCAAATCTGGAAATGGCTATGACTTTTCCAAGCTCTCAAAGGAAGAAGCAGATCGCCTGGACAACCTGCAACAGATTATATTTGACCGGTAAGCTCTTAAAGCTTGAACTCGTGCTCCATTGTTACCAGCAACAGCAACTTGTTAAAGGATTTTTTGCTTTGCGCCTTTGTCGCTTTACGCAGCGTTGGATATACGACAGTCACGGAGAATGATATTAAGCCTCTTACCGCAGTTGGTGAATCGGGCGCTGCACTAATCGAGCATGTTAACAACCAGGTGGGCGAAAAGTGTCACAAGTGTCTCTTGAAGCTGAACTCGAACATAAGTGGGAACAAGTAGTCCGTGTATTCGTGCGTGCCGCATGGAAATCTGCTGTGTAGTGAAGCCTAGAATTTCAAAATATCGGAATACCCGAATCGCACCACTCCACCAAATGTCTTGGCCACTGACACAGTCACTGACACCCAAAATAATAATTAGTGCAGGATGCAGGATTCACCGTTAAAAATATTGTAAATTTGGATCTGCTTCAGATATGCATAGAGGGATGACTGTAGCTAGAGGAATTTGGGGTCCCGGATGTGCCTCATGCTAGATTGTGAACAGATGCTGCGAATGTTTGCGAGCTCAGCTGGAAACTTTCAAGGCGAATATCAGAAATGCTAGGTTAACATCGTTCGCAAAGTCATTTGCGTAGATGTGGACTCAAATCGGAGCGTTTCGTGGATCCTGCCGGCAGCTGTCTGGAGAGTGTCACTATTAAGCTGATCCAAGCTCGAAATGCGATTTAATTTACTTTAAAAGGGCTGAGAGTTTGCCCATTGTGCGTGCTGAAGCGACAGAATGCACCTCTGGGTGTCGTCCTGCCGTTTCGGCAACGACTGATGCGTTGATTCGTAACTTTCTCTCGAAGACCACCTTGCTTCCTCTCAATACTACTGATATTGGTTCGACCTGCTAGACACTTAGGATTTTAGCATTTTTAATCAATATCAACTTTCGAAAGTCTACGATTTCGCAGTTTTCGAAATATAGAGTAGTGAGCAAGCTGTCTGCGACGGCTGCAGCGTGCACGAGCTGCGGTGTCTTGACACCGTATGAAGACGTCCCGGCTCACCAGTGACAACGCGCACTTCAGAAAGAAACGCGGATCGGAACATTTGTTGCCGACCGACCCCAAGGCAAAATTTGTATCTAAAAGATTCACCTCTCAGGCAGCTAGTAGAAATGAGAGGAACTGCCATCCGGACCGCCTTTGGCGGCCTCGAGGAGGTTCAAGCTGTAAGTGAAACTTCGTCATTTGCTCTTAGGAACTCGAATAATGTCCATATTTTAGGCTGCAGGCACAGGGTAGGAAAAGCAGGCACACGTATTCCCAGGGAATCGCTGTTCACTCTCCTCGTCACGCTCTTCAGGGAAACTAGTGATGGATTGCTTCCTCATTTGGCGGACACGCATTTCTGGAAGCGGCTTTCCTTCACGCAGTTCGTCATGTAAGTCGTAATTTCTTGTTACCACTACTAGGGTTTGCTTGCATCCAGCAATTGCTCAGATACCTCGTCGGCTTCTCCGAGGGGCTGACACACCTTGCAGCCCTTGCCATTTACTACATGCTCAAGGATGATCTAGGTGAGTACTGACTGGATATTTGGCTTCATTGGAGAAACCAAGAGGTTGCGTTTAGGTTTGAGCCCGGCGGAAGTATCCGCCCTGTTCATTGCGCCGGCCCTTCCTTGGGTTTTCAAGTGAGCAAAACACGGATTCGTTCCTGTTATTCAACGCTAATCCGTGTTCGCAGGCCAGTCTTCGCCTTCATTTCGGATTCGTATCCTCTCCGCGGCGGCCGTAGAAAGCCCTACATGATTGCCTTCAGCTTGTTAGAAGGGCTTGGCTTTATCATGTTGGGAACGTTTCCCACACACGTGCGTGTTCTGTTTGTATCTGTTCACTTGAAAACAACGCGAAATCCTCCGACTTCAGATCTTGACAGCTCTGCTCTCCCTATTCTTGATATCGGTAGGCCAAAAAGCAGAAAAATGAACTTCAAAGAACAGAAGTAATGTCGTTTCTCTCCAGATATCCGCTTCTTTCTGCTCGGCAGTTGCAGAAGCTTTGGTTGTTGAAACTACCGCTGGGAGGTCAATGGACCAGGTAGGCATTTTCATTTTACACAGTGCTAAGCACGCGATGTCCCTCATATTCGACTACAGAGCGCAGAGAATGTATCCGACTTTATCACTGCGAAAGCAGTTGGCAGTCTGATCGTCGCCTACTTGTCGGGTTACCTGCTAGAGAAAACTTCAAAACAGAGTAGGGAAAATGCGGCATCATTCGCAAAAGGACTTCGCTTACTGTGGCTTCTTAGGCATCTTCCTGGCAACCTCCATATTCCCTCTGTTCATTGCCTTCATCACCCTCTTCATGGAAGATGTTGGTGGAGCGCCATCATACGACATGAAGACGCAACTGCGCCTGCTCATGGAATTCCTTAAGCAATGTAAGGATTTTGCCGTTCAATTTGAGGAGATCGTCGATATCACTGCACTTCAGCTGTTATTTGGGGACCCGCTCTGTACATCTTCGCGTACATGGCTGGGCCTGACTATGACGATGCTCTGTTCTTCTACTTCACAAACAAGCTCGGCTTCTCTCCAACCTTTATGGGAACCCTGAGGTTGGTTTGTTGCTTAGCGTATCTCTAAGAAGGTTTGCCACATTGCATCCTCAGGTTCACCTACGGTATCGCCGCGCTGGTTGGAGTGGTGATGTACCGGACGTTTTTCAAGAGGACCGGTTTCCGCAAAACCCTCCTCGCCACGATTCTTGTAGCTGTGCCCATCTACCTTTCACCCAGTAAGCACTATCATGTAACACTTATCGTAACAACTTTCATGATCGTTTCTTCCCCCCAGTCATTCTTACTACTGGGTTCAACAGAACCCTTGGCATTAGTAACAAGGCGTTCGTTCTCAGTGGAGGCTTTCTCATTGAAGCTGTAAGCAAAATGCAAAGCAATCCTGGTCCAGCGCCAATCCAACTTCTGTATCTGTCAGACCGCTGAAATCCAACTGCTCCCCCTTCTGGTGTTGACAGCCTCGATCTGTCCCCCAGGTAAGACTATCTTCCATCACAAACTACTAGAGTATTTGTCAACAAATCTTTAAACAGGCCTTGAGGGCAGTGTCTACGCCATGATGATGTCTGTTAGGAACACCGGGTCTATGGTCTCGCGCGGGATCAGTGCAGTTCTAACATACATGGCCGGGATTACTTCTAGCAACTTCACACATCTGACTGGATACATCATGCTTTGCGGTGCAAGCCTGTAAGGATAATTCAGTGACATTTTGTCATGGACGGCGCAACATTTTCCATCAATGCACGCAGTCTTATCCCGCTGATTTTCTTGGAATACGTGTAAGTTTTATCAATATTATACATACATTAAAAATTGGTTCTAAATTCAAAATGTTTTCAGGCCCGACGGTATGACAAAAAATATGGGTATACCATATGCATGTGTTGTTACGAGACCTTTTTGCAGATGCGGAAGTGCAGAGGGTCAAGCAATACCACGACTCCATCTACGAGAAGATCCGCCAGCAAACCGCTTAAGAGAACTGGCATCAATCGCCTTGCATTGTTTTGCTTGCGCGACATATCCTTCCACAACTTTCGGTGCCGTTTTTTTAAAGAAATGCACTTTCGATGGCGTTGAGCATTTTCGCATCCCGGTTGTCTGCTTTGCGAACCTGATATTACACGCACAGACAATGTGCAATAAGGTGAAGAAAAATGACTAGCGTAACGTCGATACAGGGAAACGCTCTGGTAATAGCAAACCTACCTTGTAGATTCGAACAACCCAATTTTCAGAGGTGAAGACCTCCTCGAAATGTTTGAGAACAATATCTCCGGTATTTACTTGTGTCTTTCTCGCGAAGTCAAAGCCCTTAGTTGCCTTGCCGAAGTGTTGGTAGCTAAGCTTATAAAGCAGACTATTCAGAAGGGCATTCGGGGCTCCTTCTCCAACAGTGAACTGCGCACGCATACAACTCCAAATGCCATCATCCAGCTACGTGTACACAAATCCTCCCAATTTCACATTTTTATAACGGATATACCTGCCCCTTGGGTCCGAGGTAGTCTGACTGCTGCATATCGGGGAATACTCCAGATGCGATGCGAATCATCCAGATCAACTTGTTGAGATCATCGCTGGAAAATCGTGCCATCCCACCGAAGACGACCTGAGCGATTTCAGATTTTGCATACGAGTTTTTTTCCTTACTAATCTGGCCTTGCCAGCTTTGACTCATTTTGGCTTTGGATTGTAGCTGCTTACAAATACATAGTCAACATCCAGGTCTTGAGCTATCTCGTAGGCTTGGAATTCCTCAGATCCAAAGGCCTGAATATAATTGCAGCGCACTCAGAAAGCTGTGAATAACCCGTCACAACAGAATGCAGCGCATAGACAGTTTGATGGAGTACACAATAGTGCAGGAGCTCCTTCCTGTTTTGTCTTTCCATTTGCAAGAAACATGCAGTTCCCACGCTGTTGAGAATGCTCACAAGCCCAACAGTTGCGATATGCGTGCTGTTCCACGTATTGTTGTCCACAAAAACCGTCCTGTTCCCAACTTCTGATACTTGATATCCATAGTCCCACCTGCACCACAAAACAGTCGCTGTGCTAGCTTCACTGAAATAATCCGGGTGGAACCTAGCTCCCTTGCCGTTTGCTAAGCTCAAACAAAACCCGGGAAATGCATACGTGAGCACAAAATGGAGGTGCAACCGTAGTCTTAAACATACCAGGCCATAATTCGAGACTTTGGGTGAGTGTTTTGACGAAACCAATCGTATGCTTCGCGGAAGTCATCAGGCTTTGGTGCTTTGGAGCGACCAATTGGCCCTCCTGCGGCAAAACAGGTACAACTCATCAAACGGTGCTTTTTGTAGCCTTCCATGAGCTCTGAAGCAAGGCCTGCGTGTAACTTCGAACATTAGAGTGCTGCACAAGCATTAAGCTGGTTTGTGCACCAGTGGCCTTAAATATTTGCCTTTGGCAAGGTGGTCAAAGCTAGATTTGGACGGACCCATAAAGATGCTTCTGTTCGAAAGCACCGCAGAGGCCATCCAAGTGCAGTGGACAACATACTGAACCAAATCCGCAAAACAACTCCCGAATGTCGCCATGTTGTAACGAAGCCCGACTCGTAATGCTACCATTTCTAGTCCTTACCATGATACATAGCCAGAAAAATGCTAGTAGCACTGGAATAGACACTGTGAAGGGAATCCTGAAAGTGCTGCTTCTTATCACTTGAATGCCGAGCTGCGGGAGACAAAAGAAACAGGTGTTCAATGGTCCAGCCGTAATCATCCAGCCAAGGCAAGCCGAGCACCAAGCAGCAGCACAAGTGCAAAGCAACGAGTTCAAATGGAAGCTTACAGATTTCAAAGTCATACTGCTGCCGCCAGGGTAAACCCTACGACACTGAGATAGAACCCCGGCAACCAAGGTAGCTGCGCCGATCCCAGCAAGGATGGATGCCGCCGGTGAAAGAACGAGCACAAGTCTGACCATGACGGCTGCGCAAAATAAGTGCGTATGCCATCTGTATTCAATGAATAGCAAAACGTTTCGGCCTCAACTGCCATTCTGTTTGCTAGTCACAGACTCTGGCGGCCTAATGCCTGTTGTTCGTGCTGTCACGGGCGTGGAAATTCTACTTAGACAGGGCAATTGCCTCACCTGAGAAGTAGCAAGCCAGCACGCCATATAAGCCAACGAAGAACAGGCCTCCCCCTCGTTGGAGAGATAGAATTAGTCCCAATGGAGCAAGAAACATTACCATGTGGAGGTCAAGGAAGTATGTGGACCAAGTTGGTGGTTGGTGCTCTGACACGGAAGCCACGATAGGTATATACTTGGTTGCGTAAGTAGGATCCAGCAAAGTTAGGGACCTCGGCGACCACGCTGTTTTGCCCTATTAAACGCAGTGGCAAGAATCCTTGGTCACTTTCTTTCACCAGCAATGTTTGCAAAAGCACAGTGTGCATCAACGCTGCGAAAGCAAAGGGCGACTCAACCCCCTCTACTTGAATTACCGTGAGAGCCAGTATTGAAAGGACGATCAATATAAGGAGACCTGCTAGTCCAATGACCCAGGCTTGAAGGTCCTTCACAAGGTCCTTTGGAACTAGCGAAGAAGCAAAGCGAGCTACCGCAGACGCAATGACGAGCACGAACACTCCGTGGCTGGCCATATGCTCAGAGCTCCAGAGAGGGGTGAAGTTGAGGAAGGGAATATTGATGCAGAATGCGGTAATGATGACGTAGAATACAATGTACGCCACCTCGTGTTTTGGGGTTATTAACCCGAGTACACATAAGGCGAACACGTGAATGGCAATCGCATTGATAAGAAATACATAGCCACCCCAAGCAGAGGCCATGTAAGCAGACGGAATAGCAGCTAAGAGAGCCGATATCATTGTGCCTCTCTTTACGGCACGGGTCCACATATAAAACCCGCTAATCATAGCAAATATTGCTATGCACTCATTGTCGTAGGATCCCACAAGCGAAGTCTTAATGTAGGCAGGAGATATTCCAACAAACAGCGCCGCAAACAGCCCGGCCGCTCGCGAGCCGCTGGCATGCTTGGTGAAGCAGTGAACTACAAGAGCTGTTAAGCAGGAGAAGAAAGGCGGGAGATAACAGGAAACATCATACACGCTGACTATTATGCCACAAAAGCTCAAAATCTTGTGGAATAAGTAAGAGGTTGTCATCAGTCCTGGGAAAAGAGTTTGCCCTGATGGCCGTCCAAGTGGATACCAACTTGCTGCAGCGAACGTCACAACGGAAGCATTCAAATCCAAAAGCACTTTCCACAAATTTAAAAAGACAGGCCACATGTTGTTAAGGGTGGAGGCTCCCCAAAACACAGTGAAGGGCGTAGAGGCTCACCGTCATCGTACCAATTCCAGAACTCGCTGAAGCCCTCCTTGGCAAGGAACTTGGTTGCGCGGTGGTTGAAGTACGGGTCGAAGTCATAGATTGTTGACTCGCCCCGAATAAATGGGAACAGCCGAGTGGAAAGGCATAACAGCATTATTTGGACGAAACAAACCACCTCAATTAGTGAACTCCATCGTTTTGCAGCAGCTTGTACCTGCACGAAAGCAGTAATTTCGCCCCGATGGCGGCACGAAGGCGGTAGACACAGCGGCTGAAAGGCCCCACACTAGTATCATAGCTCCACAAATCCCTAGACTCCCCCGGGGAAGTGGCGACATGCTGACTTTAACAGTCTAAAAAAGCTGCAACTCTGTGAAAAAATAGGCGGCAATCCTTCAGGAACGATTGAGCTTGCCTTGAATGCTGTGGAGCTCAGGAAAATCTTGCACAAAACGCCTTCAAATGACAAGCTGGCCTCTGGCGCGGATGAAGCATCAGCTGTGTTCTCTGTGTCTGCCAACTCAGGCTCCATCTCCAGCAACACTTTACTTCAATTGACGTAGCTCACCCTGTTTGACACGTCTGCGTGCGGTTTGTGCCACTGGGTGCACTGCATTACACACGAGAGCTGCCGCTGCTGAAGCTGTGCGAGAATCTGTTTCACAGCCCAACAGTAGCTTGCTTGATTGTCTCCAGGAAGGCGTTGAGCAGTTCCCGAAGACATTCAAGCAGCAAGCCGTTGCTAGGCACGGTCTCAAGCGGTTGCGCGGGCGAATGACCGGCGACTCGAGTGCAGCCACCGTCAAAAGCCTGCTCAACAGTCGCTTGAAGTCCTATGCATGCTGTATACACCTATAAAATTCCATCTTGCACTTTTAGAGCTATGCGCTCAACAGCTATTCCGATGCTAAAAGGTGCTCGTCTGCTGGGGGCACAAGACCAAGTCGGCGCAGCACGAAACCGTTCTCGCGTTGATGCTATCACTAGACCTAGACGCGCGCTTGGGGAAAGCAAAGTGAAAAGTAAAGATGGCTTTTATACTCTTGTTAGCACTAAAATCTGGGGCTAAGCATATGTAGAAGGCAAGGGGGAGCCGACCTGGTCCCAGTTCAGGCAGGGCCCCGGCAGGCCCCGTTGCATCGAATGCGCGATGCAAAGCGAGAAAAACAGCGTTTCGGGTGCAGAAACACAATGCTTGAGCACAGCAGTGTGAGTTTATTGATCCTTAGCGCTACACCGCGCACTGTTTAACTCTCACGATCTGTGAGGGGGGACTCAACTGTCCTATCCCAGCTTAACAGCCCAGCTGAGCAGAGTTCGCTGGAGGTTGCTGAACGAAACACTGCTGTACTTGTTCTCTAATGTTTCCCCTTTCTCCTCCATCATGCAGCCCTCCACCAATACCCCTGATATGCGTATGTGCACCGAGAGGCCTGCACGCCTTGCTACGTCAGACGTTTGATTGCGACCGAGCCAGCTCGCGGAGTAGGCGCCAGCGTTTGACCTATGTATTCTGTGACGCGGATGAGGTAAATTTGTTTTTTAGTATGTAAGAGCCTTGATACGAGCGGGATGCACTGAAGTCCCAGGAATGAGTGTGGTCACTACACGAGCAGTCGAGGACTTGAACACGGCCTGCAATGTTGCGCAGCGTCCCTGCCAGTGTTCGTGCAGACACAGGACTGTCGGGGTCCTACACAGGATGCTGCTCCGGACGCTATTCCGAGGAGTGGTCCGGCCGAGTCGTGCAGTGCATCGGCTGATGCAGGAGCCCACCTAGAAAAGTCCGGAACACCCGCCAGTCGGGACCAGCACACTCCACCTCAACCTGAACAGCCTGAGGGAGGCAGCGTGGGCAGTGAAAAATGCGTTTCTGCGAGGCTTCTGTTTCCCGCGGAGCCGCCTGGCTCTGGGGCGAAGCGCGAGAAAGGCCCGCAACGCAAGAAGATTGTATCGGGAGGACAACTTGTGAACAAAGTAAGTACACAAATTAGCCAGTGCATTTGAGGATATGCAGGCTGAGTTGCGGGTTTCTTGGCCTTTGACATGTTTCAAAGCTTTCGTCCCGCGTGCACTGCGTCCACAGGGCTTTCTCAAGCACACATGGATGCAGCGGATGCGTACAGAAAGGCCTTCTTGTCTCATTCTCTGTTTCGACTGGAGAAGAGTGTACGACATTCGATCTGTTTGCTGCGGCTGTTGCCAAAACTCCGCCTCGCCCCTCCCAGACATCTCCGCCCGTCAGCAGTGCTCTGCACAGTCCAGTGCATGCTGCACTCGAGATGGCTGTAGGCAGCGTCTGGAGGAGCCGCCCGACTCTGCTGCAGCGCAGCAGCAGTTTGCTGCAGCTTCCACACACCCGCAGGCTGAAGATCCTCGGCCGGGGCTGTCCACGAGCTCGGGCTCGGAGTCTCCGGCCTCGGTCTCGGCTGCTGCAGCAGCCCGAACGCCGGGGGGCGTGGCGGAGTCTCGAGCTGGTATTTTCGCGCGAGGCAGCGCAGTGGCCTCTGCCGAAGCAGAGGCCATGGCCATCATTGAGTTCTTCAGAGACAGGCTCCAGAGACGCATTGTCGTCCCGAAGATGGTAAGGCGCGCCGCGTGACTAGTGCAGAGAGGGCCAAGGCAAGCCCCGCACACACAAGAGCCTGCTGCTTTCCAAAGCCACATTTAGATCTGAAATCAGCTTTGAGTGCTCCTCAAAGCCTCCGGCCTTTTCCTTTTCAGATTGTCTTCGTCATTCTGCCCGGCGGCATGGAAGACCCCCAGTCTGCCGTTGGCTTTCTCAAGAGGCTCAACCCAGCAGATATAGCGGCGATCTTCATAACTTGCGGCGTCGACGACTTGAAGTCAAAGCTGGAGAAACTCGAACAGGTGCGCAGCCCAAAGAACACTCTAACATCTTGGAGTATTATTTATATTTACTCATTTATTGCTCTTATTATTGTTGGAGCGCAACAAATTTCTCCTCAATTTTGTAATATTGACCCGCCTCACTACTGTTCTTCCTCTCATGAACAGTTTTTCCCGGACTGTTGGCTCGACGCGTTGTCTGTGGACAGTCTGTAAATGTCTTCTCAGGTTTCCTTTGAATGTAGCGTGGAATACTACGAAAACGAAGCGCGACGTTACCGAAAGCAGACACAAGTGACATTTAAGGGAGACCGTTCTCAAACCAGTGCATTCCATGTGTACCAGGTCGGTCTATCTTTGCAGATGATCTCATCAGGCCAAATCCCACTGCAGCTTCTCAGTTTTGTTTTAGCCTTTGTCCCCAGTAAGTCTTTCGTCTCCGCCTCCAGCAACGCTCGCCACGCCTGCCTTTGCTGCTGATGCCCACAGACCAGATGCTTAATAAAGGCCGGGTACATGCTCGAATTTGCACAGCAGCCCCACGCCGCAATGAAAAGCTACATAACTGCTTGGCAGTTCCTGACAAGCTACACGCAGATGGCCCCTGCACTGGAACGGATGACAGTGTGCAATTTGATTAGCGTGCGCATGTACCCGATGTACTTCAAAGCGAAAGAGCCAGCCAAGGCAGCTCACCACGCGCGCGAGCACCGCGCAGTTCTTCGAGAAAATATCCCGGAGTCTCCCTTACAGGGCTATTTGCTGCCCCTTTGGTTGGCGCAACTGCACCAGCTGCTTGCCCAGCTGTGCGAAGAGGCCATGCACTTGAGCCCTTCATCTCTTGACACGCGCGACGTGTGGCAGCTTGCTGGCTTCCACTATCAAGCCGCTGCTCGATACCTTCAGCACGTCAGAGCCTGGATCAGGACTGCAAAGGAGGTGCATCCTCCCCCCTCAATGAAAGGCGGACTGGGGGTGCCATCGCAGTGGCTTGGGCAGCCGGATACTCTTCAGGCAAGTCTGAGCTTGTTGGTGTATCACTGCAGCAGCTTCTGCGATGTCTCTGTCTGATTTTGTGTATTTTTACGAAATGTTGGGCTTGTGTGGGGTGTGGGTGCGCTGCCTTTGTGCAGCATGGAGCAGCTGCCTTCGCAACGTCAGGCTCCCAAAATCCCGAAGCAGCTGCAGCCGCTGCACAGAAAGAAGTGTTCCTTCGATTTATATTCTTTTTCAACGAGGCTCAAGTGCTAACGCATGCAACGCACTTGCTGTCTAAAGCTCATATCGCCTACAAAGTCCGTTTCGCGAATAGCATAAAATTGCAAGTTTCGGTAGTTTCAGAGTAGCTAGAAAGGCTTTGTGCCCATTCATGCCCTTGCATTGGCAAAAGGATGTGGACGCGTTGTTCTGCGCTTTCAGCTTGTTGGAGGCTACCGCAGCTGTCCGATCTTGGCTTGTGAGCTCGCCGACGCCATGTTTGACGGCCATCGGATGATGACGGCGCGCCAGCTGTACTTCACTCTAGCCACGGCTTTTGCGTCGCACACTTACGGCCACCAGACATCGTGGCAGCTCGAATCCAAGCCAGCGGAGTGCACCACTGCGGAGTCCGGCACGCCGCAGCAAAGTGTCGATATTTCGTGTCATGAGAGCGCCGAGGATCAAAGCGCTGCCTCCTTGCAAGCGGCGACGGATGGAGAAACAGCCGATCCTGAAGTTCCTTCAGCTGCTCATGCAACTCCGCCTACGGAGCAGCCAAGGAGCTTAAGTCAGCCAGTGGCAAACGAGCCACAAATTTCTGTTGGAAGCAGCATGCGCTTTTCTGGGGCGGTTAGGAGCACAGGGTAAGAAAAGTTTCTCAGACGGTGCTAACCGCTCCAGTGCCTGCGGGCTTGTGGTGGGCATCGTGTACTCCAGGGCCTGTGTATTGACGCAGCTTCTCTATTGGTTTACGAGTGTATCTGCTTTGTTTGTTGCAGCTGGTGGCCGTTATATCGATACGTTTTGGCGCGGCTCACTCTGTGCACGTCCCACTTGCTATCTATCCCCTCTGCGGAGTTCTTGTATGAAATAGCTCGAGTCGACTTGCGATCGAGCTCGGCTGTTGGTGATCAAGGCCTGTGTCGTCCAGCTGGTGGAGATGCTCAGCTCCCTTCTGCGGCAGCTTCGACACCTGGCTCACACGTCGTGTCTACGGTGGCAACTGCTGTAGGAGCCCAGGCAGATGCTGAGAGCTGCCATATTGCACTTAAGGCCTCATTTGAGATACTTAACCTTCTTGCGTTGAGAGAAGACACTGAGGATTTTGACGGCTTGAAACGAAAGCAAATGCACCAATTTGTGGAAAAGCTGCTGCCTTTGCTAAGACGCTTTGAGCAACGCTCGGGCGACAGCCAGTGGCTGTTTCATGTAGACCTGCATGCAGTGGTGGTGTGGACCGACCTGTGCGCTGAGCTGCATCGTGAACATATTATTTCAGGAAGTGGACTACTTGTGAAACGCCACTTCTTTCTTCCCAGCGCGCACCCTGACAGGGATTCGACCTGGGAGGGCGTGGTCATTGGCAGAGTGTGCTTTCAGCACCGCCTCGGATTTGATATCTCAGTGTCAAATTGGGCCAATCTTGTAACCAGCACGGGGAAGAAGGCACGGTGCTACTTAGAAATTTTAAATTGCTCGCCGAAACTCGTGGGAGAGCAGGCTGGATCAACTTCTCCTACAGAGCCTGCGTCCCTCACATTGCCTCATGAAGCGCTGTGCTACTGTAATATGTATCTAGCACCGCCAGAGTTAAAGGATCTTAGCGGCGCAACAGTGCGCCGCCTGCAGGTTTCATGGGCATTGTGCCCTTCAGTTTGCTTCCAGCTAGCTACTTTGTGCTCCGTGGAGGGGGAGTTGTCTAGACTACCTGGCGGAGTGGTGGCTCCAACTAGCCCTCTCAAGACTGAAGCGGTGCCTAACGGCTGCTGGCCCTCCCCAATTAGGCGGGCTATTCGCTTCCACAAGCTGTGCATACCTCCGCCTCCACTTTGTGATGTTGAGCGCCCCGGCTTAGCTGAGCCTTTCCTGCCATCGCTTTGCCTATCGAAGGTAGGTGAAGCAGTGCTCGCCGATTCAGTATGAATTCCCTTCCTTGAAGCTTCCCAAGCCCGTATCTACGTAGATGGCAAGCATCACCCGGTTCCTCACACGCATGTTCCAACCTCCGCCAAATGTGCACGGTTTTTGCCCATCAGGATTCTTTTGAGCTTAGTACAGTTGGCGACCCTCAGTCGAAGTACATTTGGATCGGCGAGCTTGCACCCTATACAGTTCGGCTAACCGTAAAGCAAGACTGGGAGCTCTGCAAATTCAGCATCGGCGTACAGTGTACGGCGCAGGAGTCTGGGAGTGTGAATGATCGCACCGTTGACACATCTGTGCTTCTGGAAGATGAATTCGAGTCTTTTTTGATAGATTCGAGCTTGCTTCAAGGGCTAGGTGATCGTGAATCTGCAAATGCTGCTGGCGGGGAACAAGAACAAACGAATGGTACCTGCGCGGATTTGCCAAACTGCACCAAGCTCCTGCGGCTCCCCACTAATGGATCTCCGTGCATGCCATTCACACTAACGAGGGATGACCAAGCATTTGGGCGCAACTCAGGTACGTTTTGTGCCGTATTTGCGTCTTTTTAATATTGAAAAAACAATCTTTATATGCGGAGTTTCATGCTGCGTTAAACTGACGACAATACGGTGCAGCCTTCACCAGTGGATGTATTTCTGGGGGTAATGGGTGGCTGTGCGTGCTGATGACGGCTCCCACGTATGCAGGACAGAATCGGGGGACTGTAGGCAGGGAACGGGCAGCCTCTCTATTGGTATTCGATCCGCGCAAATACAGCTGCAAGTTTACTGCTGAGGACTTGAAGATCCTTGTTGGCGAGACGACACAGGAAGATGTTTCTGGCGGAGTGCCTGATGTTTTGGAGACGGCCAAAGTTGTCTGTATACCCATGTTCCTTCGTTTGCGTCGCGCGGGGACATTTGAAGTTCGCGTAACAGTAGATGTGAACCTTGATGACATTGTTCAGAGGCTGACGACGTCCAGCTCTGTGGAGTGTCAGCGCTGCTTCGACTTAACATCCAGCCCGATCTATCTTCCTCCACTAGGCACTGATGGTTCTCGCGAGGCCTACCGTGTAAATGTCACGAACGTTTCATGCACTGCTCTCCAGCTCAGGGACATTAAGTTCTCGAGTCTCGAAGTTCCATGCGCCCCGTCAGATGCACCAGGTTTGCCTTCACAAGTATAATTGCTAAGCGCTACATCTTACAAGATTAGTATGCCAAATGCAGAAATATCTGAGCCGGCGTATTCAGAATGCTTAACTAATTGCGGACGAGCTCGTAATCTATGTTTTGTTCCGTTTGCGCCCATGACTGTTAGTGGATGATATTGCTTGACGGTTTCGCATTTTCATCTCTTAAAGCTAACGATACGTGCGTTGCAGGGAACTCGTTAGGGCAACAACTGATTACTCCGGAACTGCCTTGCACTCTTCTGCCGGGCGAGTCATGGTCAGGGATTTCAAGGATGAAAGATTCGGCGCAACGGCAAGCAGTGAGCCGTCTGTTTTTCGGAGTACTTGTCCTTTTTACGCCAGACCGTGTGTGAGGTGCATTACCAGTAGCCGCAATGCTACTTGTGATTGTCCCACTTTCAGGTGTTCATGAAGTACGCCCGGACAAGAGACAATCTCCCGTTTCCATTCTGTTGTGTTAACCTCGGCATCACGGAGAACTTAACTATTGTCAGTCTTACAGCATCAAATCTACCGCGAAATTCAATAACAGAAAGCTGCAGTGGCATGCTGCGCTTGGCAGTTTTTGTGCTAAAGGCGGCACCATTAAATGGTATTTCTCACTCGTTGCCTGCGGCTGTGCATTCCTGACAGGCAAGCCTACCACCAATACTTAAGCCGCTGTCACTGCAGTGCCTCCAGATTAACGTGGCTCACCCAATCACGTCGGCTGTGGGTGTGCCGTTCATGTTTTCGGCAACTTTTGAAAACATAACTCGAGAGGCAATGGTGAGCTTCGGCCATCCCTACAAGCGAACGCTTTAGAACGATTGTTGCAATTTAGAGCTCACAGAACAGTCACTGAAGCAACTTTGCTCTTTTGCTGCGCAGGAGCTGCTTGTAAGCTTGTCTTATCCTCATGAAGACGGTCCGAACGGAATGGATTCAGCCGACCCTTTTTCAGTGCCATTCTCGCCTACATGCCCATTCATGGTCGGCGGACAAATCAAGACGCAAGTTATCATTCTTCCTCTTAGCAAGAAGACGCTTCACTGGACTCTGGTCCCATCAAGGTGAGGCGCCGTGTGCGCGCTTCGTCCTTCAGTAACTGTGGTGAAATGCTGTCAGCAATGGACGCGCTGCCTGTATCCCAGTTTTGCGAGTCGTGTTGTGTATTTACGAGATCAGGCCAGGATCGTATAGGCTACCGACAGTACGCGTTGAGGGGAAGGCGAAGAACCCAGGACTACCGAAGGGGACAGTGCCCCCCACTGCAGCATGCGATGCTAGCGAGACCAATTGGGAATGCGCCTCCAACCCAGCTCACGTTCTTGTCTTCTCGAAGTAGTGCATTTGGAAAGACGAAAGTACCGCCTTTTGCAGTGTTGTGCTCATGCGGAAAGGCACTCACTGTGCCGCCAGCGCAGCCAGCAAGGGGAGCACTGCCTACGCTAAGCCAAAGCTTGCCTTTTTGTTTCGAAAGGTAGAACGAAATAGCTCTTCCTGACAGCTTCCGCGTTCGGGTGTTGCATAGAAGTACAGTGTGATATCTTTTTTTTCCAAGTTATGTTTGCAATGGCTAGCGGGAATCCGCTGTAGACTGAACCTGAACCTAGAACAGCTGCCCCCGCCCGCAACGAGAGAGCCATCACAGCCAGAGAGCTCCGCGGCTGCCAGTGTTGCATTTCACGGGCGCCTGTAGGGTCTACATCGAAGTCCCACTGGACCCCAGTCACTGAAATTAGACTCCAGTGTGAGGCTGTTTCTCCACGTAGGAACACACACTTTTCTGACACCCTCAGTTCGCTTTCTTCGGATAGACATGCTTCTGAAAAAAGCCTTAGTCTGTGCCCATTTTGAAGCCTAGAACTAGGCGTTGCTGCCTAGTGATACTATTGATCTTGTGACTGCCCAGATATCCAAACGGTCGATGCCATGCAATACATGACACAGATGTGAATGTTAGAAAACGCAAGTTCAGTTGCATTGTGCAAGGATCAAAGCTTGCTTGCGAAACGTCAATAAGCTGTTAAATTGCCAGTGGCTGGGCTTAGGCGCAGCACTATGTACAACAACTGCGCGGGGAAGCCACCGACCACAATGGGCTTCCTAGGAAGTAAGCAATACTTCCTCGCCTAGCAAAATCTAAATGCTTCTTCCAACGTGATCATGCTCCATGCAGCTCAACAAAACCGGCCTGCTCACCATTATCCCAGCATAGTTGCTGGTAGCTCTGACATTGCCACAAAGGAAGAATCTCCATTAGCCGCCTCTACTTGGTCTTTTGTTGCAAGTAGTGCACCAACAAGTCTCCGTTCCTGCGGGTGTGACCTAAGCGACTGCACGTATTCTTCCACAATGCTGCTCTCTGGGCTCCCAGCGCCTGCCTCCTGAAACAAACTGGAAGGATTTCGCATTCCTTCCTGCGAAATGAGCCAAGGAGCTCCCGGAGCAACCACAGCCTGGCGCATTCTCTCGAGCACTTCACGATCTAAAAGTTGGATAGGGCATCCACTAAGGTGCCTTAGAGCATTGCGTAGCACGGTAGCGACCGGGCTGCGACTCATGCCCGCAGCTGTGGCCAAAGCAGCATCACTCATGGCGCTCAGTCCCAACGCCATGTGTGACCGTAAGTATATGCGAAGGTTCAGCAGTTCTCCTTGGAGGTCAGCGAGTGTTGCTAGTCCATGGGATGAACGGACACGGATGAATGGCCGGAGCAGCCCTTCGAGACTAACCACACCCAAATCACGTCCAAGACGACTGAAAACTCGGAAAAACCCTTCCTCAGTTCCGGCTGTGATGAACTCCTTTCCCCCTTGCAGATAGACGGCGCGGCGAAAGTTTGTCTCAGCGTTGACAGGAGGAATAGCAAATGATTGCGGAAATACGGTATAAGACCGCAGGCAGACCTGCCGCAGCGCAGCATCTACGCCGCTACAAAGGAGCCACTCGTCCGAATCATCAAAGCAGCACATTACACTCAGACTGCCAGTGTCAACGGTCAACAACGGCTGGTGACCGTTGATCCGCTGACGGAGATCCCAAAGTCTGCAGGTCTGGTCAAAAGATGCTGTGACGAAAAGATGAGGAGATGTGTGTGCAAATCTCACGATGTTAATACTGTCAGAATGGAGATTCCTCAAGGCGCCTAACCTTGCGCCAGTGGCCACATCATGTATGGTAAGGTCTGGGCTTCTCCCTGACACAAGCAAGTAGTCATCTGTACTGTTAACGGAGACAGAGCTCAGGTCATCGCACGCGCAGTACTGATGCACAATCCGCAAAGACGCAGTGCCTTCCCTACTAAGCCGGTCACCCCGACCACAGCTCCTAATCCACGTCAATGCAGCCGTCACTGTCGAGATGTCCAAACAATCTTCACGGTCAGCGGAGTATTGCTCTTCATGATTTGCTTCACACTCACCCGCCTCCGTACCTTGCTGCTGCAGCGCAGGCTGTCTAGACTGGGCGTTTAGGGATGGAAATGGCTGTGAAGAGGAAACTGCAGCCTTGGTCATCCTCCCACGCTCGCCCTTTAGCTCGTTCGAAAAAAATTCATCTTGTTCTCTCCAGCGAACAACGTATGGAATGCCGGAAACTCCAGCAGCACAAACAAACAATTCGGGGTGGTGTTTGAGCCAGGAAAGTCCTAAAATTGGATGGCTATCCACAAGTTCTGTCCCCAGTACAGCGTCTCGCTCCCAGTCAAGAACACGCACCTGATCACAAAATAGTCACAAGCATTTGTAAAAAATGGCACATCATAACCAACTGCCACAGTACAGCAAACTGAAAATATACGAAAATTTTGATTCTCGGCCTCTTTAAGTCTGACATTGAGATAGGCAGGTGCTGAACCTACCCTTCCATCATTGTTGCCCGTAAGTAGCACACTCCTCTTTTCTGGGTGGTACTCAAACTGCCGCGCATTCACGGACGACTGCAGAATCCATGGCTTGCAAGGCTTTGAGTCCAGCTCTGCTACCAGGATGCCCGTAGGTCGCTGAGGAGAAGGATCCGCAGGCGCTGTTAGATGCACGCCGCAATCCGACGAAGTGCTAGAATTTTCGGCAATCTGACCACTCCGCACTGCATTTTCATCAGGCAAGCTCAAAGCACTGGACGGCTGCGCTGTCTGCAACCCATCCAGCATTGTACAATCAGGAGACAAGGATCCCTCAAGCCCGTCAGGAAGACGATTCTCTGTGGCGGACTGATCAGGCAAGGGTTGAAACTGTCCAGTTAGCATCTGCTCCTCCTGCTGTGGCTGCAGTTGCGCCTGAACGTCGCTTGACTCAACCATCCGGCGAATGGGCTCCGAAGCAGCTTCACGATGCAGGACTAAAGTGGGTTCACCGTCAGCCGGTGTATCCATCACCACTGAAAGCGTGCAATCCTGTGCCCAAGTGAAAAGCGGAGATAACAACCACGGGCTTGAGTCCTTTGGCACCCTCCTGTCCGCAGAATCGTGCTGATGCGCACTCCACGATGACCAGCCAATGCCATTCTGACTACCCACTGAATTTCCCCTACGACGCCCGTGTTTCTGCTCAGAAAAGTTCTTTATATCGCATGTCAGTGTCAAACAGCGTGTGCATGCCGACGCAGCACGCCTGGCAGAAGAAAAAGGCATAACAGTAAGCGTCAGGCGCTCACATGACATGAGACGCAAGTCTGCAGTCAACTTTGCCGAGGGTAATGGCTGCTGCTCAAGATGATGCTCCCTGCTTGGATGGGTTGATGCAAGCCAGAAGCGTAGGACAGAAGACCGAGATAAATGAGCTGCTTGGCCGCCTTTCCCTTTGCGGCGGCGAGATTGAGGGCGACTTCCCCTGTTATACAAGTGTGTGCCGCTCATTGTTGTCTCCCCTGATCGCTCAGCAGAGATTAATGGCAGCATATACTTCCTATCGGCCAGGGTGAGGAAAAGCAATCGGGCCAAGTCAGCTGCTGTTGCATCAGCCGGCAAGAGCAGTGGGACATCCTCTGGAAGTGCCGTCCATGACGCTGCAGCTGCAGCGTCCCACTCGGTACCAGAGCCGCAGCAATCCTGCATCCCGCGCGGCCACATAACACCATTTGCTGGTGGTAGACAGGTGCGCACAAAAAGCAACAAACCATGACCAGGTTGCAAAGGTGGGTTCTCCACCCTCCAGCCCTCTGTAGGTAGGCTGAAGTTTTGCGCAAAAAACTCGCGTGTCGATGTCCAATTAGCACCTGTCGCGCTCACTTCACGAGACCTAGGATGCTCCTGGTCACTTGAAGATGCTTCTTCGCGTTCCGTTTCTCTGGCGCTTGACAGATGATTTTCACTTGCTTGCCTTGAACTGTGCCAAGAACTTAATGCCCTATGATGCCTCTGGTGTCGCAGAACTGACGCACCTGTGCCTGCTGTTTCCGCATTGGCTACCAACGGCCAACTACTTTCCGACTCGGCAGGGCTGTCGCTGGCATCCGGATATCGGGTGGCTCTTGCTGGCATCGAGCAGCCGCTTCGACGGCGAAAAGCTCCAAGCTGTCCAATACAGACAGACAAAAAAGAATGGGATCTACGGGGCTGCGCACGTGTTGCGGAAGGTGAACGATGACACGCTGAATCTTCCGACGCACCACGTCGCACCACGTCACGGAGCTCCTGTTCATTAAACAGCTCCTCTTGAGTTGGTATCTTGAATTCTGAAGGTATTTTGAAGGGCCGAAACTCATTCACAGGGGCAGATGTTCTTTGGGGCTTTCCTCCGCTTTTGGCAGGAGTAGAAGCTTCGAGGGATTTCCCCCCATATTTCCCCTCTGTCTCTGTATCTAGGGGAAAACCTAAGGGTGTCGTCAACTGGATGGCACCCTGTAGAGGCAGCTGCTTTTCTGGCGGCAGCACACAAGCTGAACCTCCTAGCTGAAGACTATTCCTGGATCTTGCTGCGCCGGGTGGGCGTAATACTGAAGTGAACGCCGCACTAGCCGCTGCAAGAACATTCGCTGCAGTTGTCAGTGCATCCCTTGAGATGCTGCTGAAAACGGTAGAGGCTAAAGCCAAAGAGGCTTCGGTCAGTGCGGCGCTTGCAAGTGTCGACGAGCGCAGGAGGCGTCGAAGACGATCCGCAAAAATCCGCTGGAAGCACGGCAGACCTAAACGAGAATGAATGCTTTCATACTCTCCTGTTTGCCCGTTTACAGGTGCTGCATTCACCACAGAGCTAGTCACACAAAGTGCCTGCCCAGACCCAGCTGGAGCAGATTCACCTCCCATCTGCCCGTGATTTCCGTAACCGCTGTTGGATGACGGAGCGTTTACCGCCCCTCGTTGCGCCGTGAAGCCAGAGACAAGGCGAGTGGGCTGTATATCGCATTCCGCTACTTCCTCCTGGTCATCCTCGTGTTCATCTCTTTCAATTACATGCAGGTCCACTCTGAATATCCTGGAGTGGCGAGCAGCAAGTGTTGCCGTCGCGGCCGCAGCAGTTGTGATCGCTGCTGTCGCACTAGAGGTTGCAACTGCAACGAGCAGTGCCCCAACGAAAATAGCTGCCGCAGTTGTTCCATTAGAGAGAGGTGAGAGAAGGGTTGCAAACACGCTTTCGCGGCCAAGAACGTCGAAAATCAACCGGTCATCCTGCACTCCATCCACTTCTGGTGTTTGCCGCGATGGCCTTGGACGGTTATCGTCCACAATATTAGGAATCGTCCTTCTCTCCTCACGCCTCCAGCCGCGGCCCAATTGGGCTAGCGCGTCTGATTCAAGCGTGCCGTAGGGCGGAAGTGGCCACACGCAGGTGCAGTCGCCAGTTGCCTCGGCAGCAAAACATGACGAGTGCGCAAACGGCTCCTGCAGATAGCGCAGTGAGACCTGCCATTCAAGTAAATAGTGCTGGTCGCGTAGAATTTCTGCTACGCATAGTCCAGGCCTGTTTCCTGGTCTCAAGTGACGCAGTCTCATGGGTTGACGAATGTTGAGTGCCCTTTTAACAAACGTAGAAACAAAGTCTTGAGGGTTTAGCCACTTGTCCCGGTTACTGCACTTGAATTGACGCTGCTTTTCATGTTCCCCGCCGCCGCAATCCTGACCATCAACCGAAGACGGTCCTCCAAGCGTGGAACAGCGGCAAGCACTTGTGAGATCAGGAACCGCAGGGTGCATAGGAAATTGCAGCTCTAGTTCCCTGACGTGAATATAAATCCTGGGACCCGGGCTAACCCGATTAAGCAGAAACAGGAAACGCCAGTCCACTGACTCGTGCACTGCAAGAAGACAAGGAGCAAACAACACGCAAAATTGCAGGACTGCAGAGACATTCGCGCAGGCAGATTTCAAACTTAAAATTCCTAGAAGAGCATTCCAGCATCCAGAAAATCTACTACCCCTACTATCCAGCCATAAATTTGCGCTGTAGCTCACATGTGCATCCAGGCAAGACTTGGAGCCCTCTGCAGTGCGTCCCTGCTCCGTGCGCCGTATTCGCAGCAGTCCGCTGGTGAATGAATTTCGGATGACAACGTGTAGGCCATAAGAACTCTTCACAAGCACTAGAGGGGTCGGATCGCCTACCTTCACACCGGCTGCGGGCTGTTGAATCCGACGATGAGGAGTCCGCCTGATCAGCGTCGCTCAAGTTTCCCGCGCCTAAGCAACTTTGATTGCTTTCTAGGGAATTGAGAATTATGTTGTCCACATAAAAGCTACTCTTTCCCTGCTTTAAAAGATTTCTGTGGAGACGCGACTCAGGGTTCGGTCCTGTTTGCTTGGAGTTAGAAGCGCACTTGACCGTTTTCTCTCCAACCCTCTTCCGATACTGCCGACGAAGCACACCAGCATTGGGGGAACATTTAACAAGGCCAGCTGAGAAACAAAGCGCCCTCCATGTGTCTCTGTGATAAGCTATCCATCGGAGGCTTTTACAGACAGACGCAAGCGCTACTACATCCTCAGCATCCAGGAAGATGGCTACATGTCCAAACACCGCAGCAGGCAATGGAGTCTGGGAGAGAGGCAGCACTGTCGGCTTCTCAGGCTGTGAGCGAGCTGTACATCTGCCCGATTTTTCAGATGCCACAGACTCTTCGCTACCTGCGCTGTCACAAAACCACAGGGGTCGGCCAAAAAAACCTAGGCCGCCTAAGTCCGACGGGCCCTCAGAGCTTGTCATGGTAGATTTATGCTCCTCTATGCGATAAGTAGAGCTAAGCTGCACTCTTGGAGGCGTCGCAGGCCTTGTTCTACAGATCGCGTGTTCCGAAGGCCCCATGATCGAGCCCTCCAAACATCCCTGCGGCGTCATAGCGTGGCACCCACGACATCGTGCTTCAGGCTCTCCCGTGGCTGCAACAGTCGTGCTGCCTCGGGGAGTCTTGTTGCGGCAAGAGTCTCCATCTGCAAACAGCCCCGCTTCTAACTGCTGAGTCAGCCGGGGAGAATGGAACACTTGCCGCCCTGGCTGCCTGCGGCTGGCCGGCAACACCATCAAGGATGGAGCTGCAACGGTCCACAGTTGAGTTTTCAAGCTGAAGAGGTACTTAATGGGGGGAAAGTGGCAGGATTAGCTGCATGCCCTAAGGCGAAACCATGTTACACACGGACGGTACCTGTACTCTGCGTCATCGCGGGCTCCAGGAATTCAACGTGCTGGGAGTTTAAAAAAAGCAACAGAGCTATCGGAAGCGTATAGATACCTCTAATGGTGAAGTACTGGAATAGGGTGCTCACCCCGCAGACAACAGTAGAGTAAGAAACCATGCGGCGGCAATGCCGACGCCGCCGCACCTGATCCAGCGGCCTACCCCTCGCTTTACTGCTCTAACGCCCTGCTTATAAACTACAGGTCATTCATGTCGCTCAAGAAGCATATAAATTTGTCATTGTTTCAGACCATTTTGCTGCACGGTAATTTTCCTGCCTTCTGAGCGTCCGCGCTAGGCATCTGCTACCAGTGCTGAGGCGTCCACACAACGGTGATGGAGGAGCTTAGAGGCGGATTCCAAACACGGGTTCTTCACTTGCTACAAATAACTAATAAATTGTCAAGTAATGCTTACAAACATGCATATCACACGCGCTTTACCGGCGTGTGCAGGAGGAATTCCTCATTGCACAGCTGAACCCCAGTTGTGCTGAACCTCGTTACAGAGAGATAAACAGCCTTCCGTTAATTTACCCTAGTACAGACCGGCTCAAATGCACGATTGGCTGTCTCGATGGCAACTGTGGGTGGCCGCATTTGCCATAATTGCCATGGGATCCCCGCCGTTTCACCAACAATGCATTGCAGCGCCAAAATGCTTTCTCGGGAACACAGGAAGGCACGCTGAGACCAGCGTGTGTATATTCCAATGTTTCTAACTTCATGGTTGCCAATGCTGCTGCTTACCCGCAGCTTCTGTTGCCATGCGTTGCCTCGCATTGCATCGCTACAGGGGTCTACAACCACGAATAATTATACTGGCCACCAGTAAGCTGTTCGACAACAACAAGGAACAGCTCTGTGCTCCCACTTCAGTTGAACAGGAATGCTCGGCTACGTCCACATTATCCCTGGAAGCAACGAGTTTGCCCGTGCACGGCTGTCGTATTGAGGCCATTGCTACTGGTCCGTTTCCTTGTAGCTTAAACTGCGCCAATTCTCTAGCCTTCAAAACAATCTATCCCTCCAATGTGTTCCCCGTGCATGTGTCAAACGGCGCTTTTGGCAGGAACGGACACGGGCTTCTGGCCAACGGTCAAGCATAGGCCTGCGCAGCAGCTGCTGAACACTTCAGATACTAATCTGGAGGCCTCTCGCAACGTTCTTGTCTGTGACACTTGACAACATTGATACGCTTGCACGAAAGTGACCATGAGAGTCTGCAGAGTTTAATACTCCTTTGAGCTGTGCACACCTTTGCTTGTATATTCACTGCGGCTTTTTGCCGTTGCCATGCAGCACTGAAAGCATGAATGTTCTTGATAAGTACGAAATGGTACTTCTACATGGATGCGCCGGGTACTTCCCCTTGATGCATTTCACACTGAGTAGGCTGAGCTGATGCTCATGCCAGCAGAGAATCATTGGAAGCAATCCTGCCTTCCTCTTCGTGGTTTAGCTGGGCGGCAGAAAGCGCACATGCTGCCACGAATTCAGTACTCTACTGCAAATCGTCTGCATAGCAGAGTCTCCATCACTGTTGTACACACAGCAGTATGAAAAGCCTCAAACAGGAAGCGTGGCACCAGCTTCCCACGTACGGAGATGTGCTCCCATTACATCCACCAACCTGAGCCCTGTCGTTTCAAGCCGCTCGCGTCGACTTCACTGCAGTTTCCATGTTGTTAGATTTCATTGGATGCTCAACAGCATTTGACTGTGCCTTGATTCGATTTGGGCTACAGTTCTGCTGTGAAGATCGCTGCGGAAGGCTCGCTGCAGCAGGCACCGTATCTCCCGTTACACGCCGTGTTCCGTCTCTGTCTCCACCGCAAGTTGCAACTTCCGCCATAATGTCCTTGGATGTTCGCCTACTGTCCTTCTGTAGACAATCTGTGGCTTCCCCACCCCCCTCGGGGCCGAATGCGCCGCGCGAACGAAGTCGCAGCAGGCCGCGCCGAACTCCTTCACACTCTGCATGCACTGCAAGGTCGATGTCTTCTGCGCGTGTTTGGCTTGCCAAGGCTAACAGCGGAGGCAAAGTGGACGTGACTGCAATCAGCACAATCAGGAAAATCAGAAAAATTTACCCAAAACAAAAACTTGAAGGCTTGCTTAGCGCACTTCCGGCAGATCAGCATCAGTATAGTGGAACATGCACAACAAAAAGCACAAGCATGAACAGTAATTCTTGGAACACAGCATATCAACTGGTGGCCTGAAGTAAGCGCACAAAGACACGTACTTTCTGTGCCCCGAGGTAGTTTACACACGAGGGAGACGATGCCTTCTACCATCTCCAACAAACCTCGCGTCTTCCATCCTTTTCCTTTTGGGAGTGTTTTAGCGTTGAGGTGGGACAAGTTCATTCTGTCAACTAGTTCAATTCCTGGAGCAGGCTTCCCCGGTTTTGATCGTTTCATGCAAGCGACCCAGCACGCCACCTTTGCATCTACCTTAACTTTTTGGGCCTTTTCCAAAGCTTTCTGTTGCATGAGCGCCTTTCTTTCTTCTATGGTTATATCTTCGTCTCTGAGCCGCCTCAATTGATCGCTGCTAATTCGCCTTTGGTGCTGGTCTGAGTGTAAACTGCCTTTTGTGTGACTCCGTATGCATGTGAGTGGTTCCGCTCGTTTCTGTTTCTCTTCACCACTCATAGGTGAGACCGACCCGAGGGAGCTGGTATGTGAAGGGGCCTTAGCAGTAGGGAAGGATGGAAGAGAGGACACGCGTTCCATCGAGCCCGTTGAATATTCTAAGCGATCGAGGCTACAGCAGTCGCTAGAGCTTCCCACTCTCCTCGACAAGGATGGTTTTCTCCGTGGGAAAGACCTGTTTCTCCGCAGTGCTCCCGAAGGTTGTGTGTTTGCGATGTCTCGAAAAGCGGAGGCGAGTGACGAAATTCCCGAAGACGAACTGCCTTGGTGGCATAAGCTTTCCGAATCACCATCACCTACCGAGTGAAGCACATCACTGGAGAGGCCGACCCCACTTGAGGTAAAACTGTAGGATTCTGCGGGGGACTGCTCAGCTGTACAGGCCACACACAATCAGACGGAGCATCCTTTTTATAGGTCGAACGCCACCTGGTAGAATTATCACAGCCACACGACCCTGGACACTTAGACGAAGCAATCGGGTCATCTAGGCTCGCCATTCTGTTGTGCTCTACTGCCAGCGAACAGTTCTATACGTGCTAACCTGGCCCCCAAATAGAGCTTCCTAGCGAGTCTAAAAGCTTCAGATTTGTTTTTCTTTCTTCTTCTTCTCTTTGATCTTGTTGCTGATGATACAAACACGGGCACCGTTTCAAGTACCCCTGTTGGAGAGTCTGTATCCTCACTATGTAGGACTGAAAAAACACACCGCACGCAACAGCACAAGTCTTACGCATTTTATCAAAAAATGGTTCGAAGCGAAAGAAGGACGTGGAATACCCGGCTGAGAACAGTAACCGCTGGAGATGCTCACAAACTTGAGCAAGCGTTGACCTGGTTACGATGCTGGACTCTCTAGACTAACATTGAGAATTTCGCGCAGCTCTGCCCTTTGCTTGTACTGCTGCCGCCACGTCTTTAGGTCTTCAAGAAATATCTGTGACACCACAAACACAAAGCGTGTCACTATCCCGACAATGCAGTGGCAAAGTTGGTGAAATTATTGCTGACCCAGTAAATGGTCTCTTTTGTTTCTCGCCCAGCCCCACCTGCCTCTCTGCTGCCTCATGAACCAGCTGCTCCATCATCGATCTCTTAGCCGACAGGCTTTCGGCAGCACTGCAGCAAGCATTCAAGTAGCGCAGCAAGCCGACTTCAACTCAATGTCAAGGACGAAATGGCAATCACGCAATACACTTAGGTGCTGTCTATTCCAAAATAAAACGGCTCATGCGTGTAGAATGCAAACCTGGCTTGCGGAAAAGACCGTCCGTCGTGAGGCGGACAGACGTTGGCATTAATGGCAGCTTCAGCTTCCCGCAAAGGGGCATATGAAAGGACCCCCTCCACCGAATCTTCTCCCCGCGAAGCCTCAACGCCTTGTGGTCCTCGTACATCGGTCTTGCCAGTCGCAGAGGCATATTTTTCTCCCTTTGACACCTCAGCCAGCGACATATCTAACGGACGACCAGTGCTTTTAGGGAGAGTTAATGCAGTTTGTGGCACTTTCTCCTTAGGGCTCTCTGAATCAACTGACCCCCGTTGAACAACCGCAGCGACTTCCTCTTCTCGGAAGTCTCTGACCAAAGCTGGTAGCGCTTGTGCTATCTCCGTCGGGGACAAGCAGACTGCAGCATCCCTATTCGACGCATGCTTCGCAGAATCCAATGAGGCCTTCAACTGGCAGTGACCTTCATCAGGTGCTGATGAGTCAGAATGCATGTGCTGTCTTTGCTGCGCAACCGGCAATGGCGTAAATTCCTTGTGAGCTGCCGTGGGCCCTTCACCGTCCACTACTCCGGAAAACGAATTGTTCTCCAGTTCCATAGACTCTGGGGCTGTTGAGTATCCTGGTGTCCACTCCAGAAGAAGGAGAATCATCTGCACCTGGGTACGAGTCAATGAACCAGATAAACGAATCAGCAGCTTCCATGGCTTGCTGTTGCAGAACATGCTTTTTGAGTCTTCATTACCAACCGATGCGCCTAAATCAGAGCGGGGAAGACGTTGGGCACACCCAGGTGCCTGACTTATATGTTGTGACAACATCCATTGAAGAAGTTGTCTCTGGTTAGCGCTAATCAATTCATTGTGAATCTGACAAGTGTTACGAGATCTCCTATCACCATGAGCCAAAGTCGTGCCTCCGAGCTGTTGGGCGTCGCTGCTAGCATCCGCATTGATCTG